CCTTTATATTTCTGATAATAGCTTTGGCTCCACCAGCTGGACAGGTGTTTTATTTTTCACAGTTGCTTAACCTGCTCCCTTTCACTGTCTTCACTGGATCTAATACTTTATCTTCTCATTAGCTGCTTGTAACTCCAGGATCATTATTTGTATCTGTTTTGCTGAGTTTCTCAAAATCTCTGTTGAAAGAGCAAATTGGCATGTGGTCTGTTAGTAGGACACCATCTTAACTACCAACTCCTGGACTTGTTTTGACTGATGATATTGAGCATTTCCATCACCTCTTTCCACAAACGTAGTCAATTTGATTCTTATGTATTCCATCTAGCAAGGTCCCCATGTACAGTCACCATTTATGTTATTGGGAATAAAAGGTATTTATGTTATTGGGAATAAAAGGTATTTGCAATGAATAAGTCATTGGTCTTGCAAAATTCTATCATGAGATCTTTGGTGTCATTTCTATCACAAAGTTTTCCAACTACCAATGATTCTTTGTTTCCGACTTTTGCATTCCAATAACTAATAATTATCAATACATCTTGATTGCATGTGTGGTCAATTTCACATTGCAGAAGCTGGTAAAAATCTTCATTTTCTTCATTTTTTGCTTTGGTGATTGGTGCATAAATTTGAATAACAGGCTTATTAACTCACCTTCCTTATAGGCATATGGATATATCCTATCACTGAAAACATTTTACTTCATGATAAGTTTTGAAATGTTCTTTTTGGTGATGAATGTGATGCCAAAACAAAAACCAAACCAAACACACTGCCATCGAGTCAGATCCAACTCTTAGTGACCACTTCTTGGGTTTCCAAGGCAGTATCACTACAGAAATAGATTGTCCACTCTTTCTTCTGAGGAATGGCTGGTGGATTTGAACTGCCAGCCTTCTGGTTAGCAGTCAAATGCCTTAGGCACTACACCACCAGCATTCCTCTTCAATTTGTCATTCCTGGCATAGTAAATCATATGATTGTCTGATTCAAAATGCCCAATACCAGTCCATTTCAGTTCATGAATGCCTAGGACCTTTATACATTCATTTCATTTTTGACTACTTCCAATTTTATAGATTCATACCTGATCATATATGTTGCGACTGTTTCTTCAATTTTTTATCTTTAACTTATTCAGTCTCTTTTGTTTTATAGAAAAGATAAGTGTTCATGTAGTCAAATCTCTCCATTTTTCCATTTACACTTTCCTGCCTTTATTGTCGTGTTTTCAAAGGCCATCTCTACCACAACATAATCTCCCATATTTTCCCTACTGCTTTCCTGGGTTTGTTTTTGTTTTTGTTTTTAATAAACTTTTTTATTTTTTAATAGTTTTAGATTTTTCAAAAAGCTTTAAAGATGGTTTGGGTTTCCCATTCAGAGACAAGAAGAGTGAAGAAAACAAGACACATGGAAATAATTAGTTCAAAGGACTAATAGACCACATGAATCTCAGCTTCCATGACCCTGAGACCAGAAAAACTAGATGATGCCTGGCTTCTATTACCAACTGCTATGAAAGGGATCACTTTAGAAGGTCCTAGATAAAGTAGGAGGAAAATGTGGAACAAAATTCAAAATTACAAAAATTTTTGATTTTTGTAGAAAACTATGGCCTTTGTTCACCCATCAGACCTCGAACTAAACCTACTCCTGTAGCTGAGTTTTCAGTCAAACAACAGACAGGTCTGCAAGCTGAACAATAACTCTAGGAAGTTAGACACTCACTAGAACAGTCAACTAATTCAGATCAAAAGGGCAGCATTTGCCAGAGGACAAAGTCCAAAAGGCAGGAAGTGTTAGGCCAGAAAGAAGAATGGAAACTGGAAACACAGGGAGAATGTGGGAGGAGTGGTTACATTGATACATTGAGGGGGTTGCAATCAATGACATGAAACAAAATGTATGTGAGTTGTTGAATGGAAAACTGGTTTGTTCTGTAAACTTTCACCCAAATCACAATAAAAAGTTTTTTTTAAAAAAGATGGTACAGACTTCCCTTGTGTCTATTTTCATTTTCTAACTTACATTTTTTATCTACCTATAGTTTTATTATATATGAATTAATTTATTCAAAACTAATTTCTTTAATACCAGCTGTGTTCCAGGTATGATTCTAGGCCTATGGACATGGGCATGAGGAGATAAATAATAAAACCAAAAACCAAACCCACTGCCATTGAGTTGATTCCAACTCAAAGCAACCCCCATTGGGTTTCTTAGGTGGTAAATCTTTACGGAAGTAGATTGCCCAGTCTTGCTTCCATGGAGTGGCTGGTGGGTTTGAACCACCAGCCTTCTGGTTAACAGTCAGATGGCTTAGGCACTGTGCAACCAGAGCTCCTTAGATAGAGAATATCCCTCCTTAAATAAGCTATTCTAGTGGAATGGACAGACAATAACTGATAAACATACTTTGGGAAATGTTATTCCATTATGGCCCTTATCCCTTTGTATTCTAAGGCTACTTATCTCACTTGTTTGTAAAGTTATGAGAGAGTGGGAATTCTCTTTTTTTTAGGTACCTAGTATGTCATTGTTGTTGTCATGTGCCGTCGAGTCGGCCCCGACTCATAGCGACCCTTCCTTGGGTTTCCAAGGCAGTATCACTATGGAAGTAGGATTGCCCAACCTTCCTTCTGAGGAGTGGCCGGTGGGTTTGAACCGCCAGCCTTCTGGTTAGCAGTCAAGTGCTTTAGCCACTATGCTACCAGAGCAACAACAACAACAAGTATGTCATAGGGAGCTCTGGTGGCGTGGTGCCTAAGGCATTTGACTGCTAACCAGAAGGTTGGCAGTTCAAATCCACCAGTCACTCTGCTGAAGGAAAACTGAGCAATCTACTTCCATAAAGATTTACTGCCTCGGAAACCTGGAGGGGTTTGCTATGAGTCAGAATTGACTCAATGGCACTGACCTTGGTTTTTGGTTTAGTACGTCATAAAGGAGTTCTGGTGGCATAGTGATTAAAGCATTCAGCTGCTAACCAAAGGTCAGGAGTTCAAACCCACCAGCTGCTCCATGGGAGAAAGATGAAGCAGTTTGCTTCTGTAAAGATTTACAGCATTGGAAACCCTATGGGGCAGTTCTACTCTGTCCTATAAGGTCACTATGAGTCAGAATTAACTTGGTGGCAAAAGGTTATATTTCTGTTTGTTTGTTTGTTTTTATAGTACATCATAAGAACCTAATAACAAAGTTGTTAGTTTGTGTTTTGGGTGGAAATTTACAAAGCAGATTTGTTTTACTCTTAACAGTTCATGCATATTTGATTTTGCAGCCCCGATTACAATCCCTGAGCATAAAAAATTCTCCTCCTCACTCCTCCTTGTGACTACTCCCTGCCTTGCCCTTCTTATCTATGCATTCCTGTCTGTCCAGTTTTCCCTGTATGTGAATGCTACCCCCCTGACATCTCATGGTTGATTGATTTAAGTGGGTGCGTCTCCCTAGGGTAGGTGGGTGCATCTCCCTGGGGTAGGTGTTCTGCATCTAGGTCTTTGTACTGTTGAGTTGAGATCCAATCCACAGACATGAGTCCATTTCTAGGCCTGAAGAATAATACAGGGCCATAGTCTCAGGAGTTCCATTAATCTCTATCTGACCAGTAATTCTGGTCATTTTTGTATTTTTGAATTTTTTCCACGTTTTTCCTCCCACTCTAACCAGGATCTTCAATTTTAATCCCTTTCCAAGTGGTTGGCCTTAGTAGCCAGTCACCGTCTAATTCTTCTGATCTTGGGGTCATGAAGGCTGAGGTCCTTGTGATCCATCATAACTTTGGACTTACTCTTTCCAAATGACTTTATAGTTTTATTTTAAAATGTTGATATTTACAATATGCTAGAAGTTACAACCTAAGCAATTACTTAGGGGAAAGAAAAACACTTTAGATGTCTCCTTAAATACATCATTATTTCAGCGTTCTTTTAAGGGATGCATGAGAAGAAATACTCAAAGGACAGTAGTCTGTATTTATGGTGTGATTTGTTCTTTCACTTATTTCTTGAGTAGTTTTCTTATCTTCCTATCTAGATTGCAAGTGTTTCTTGTGTAAGAGTTGTGTCCTATTTCTTGTGTTTTCCCTCCAAGAGATTTGAGTACAGCAAAGCAGCTGTAGAGCTGAGTAGGACAAGGGTTGACTTAAGCAATGTTTGTACCCTGGCAGATCGTAGCTCGTGCTCATGAGTTTTATGTGTATGGCAAATATTCTTCAGTTATGCTTTTTGATTAGGAAGATTTCCCCACCCCAAAATATAATTCTTTCCCACCCTCCACCTACTGTTGGTGCTTGGAATTTCTTCAAATAGTGTCAAAACATTTCATCTCAAAATGCATATGTATCCTTGAGAGAAGTAACATTGACCTAGAATCAGATTGTATTCAGTAACTTTCTAAGAGCAAGCTTCTATAAAAGAAGGTGAAGAGAACCAAGAGGTCACTTGCTTGAGGTTTACATTTGGCTCCCTGAGCTTACTGAAGACTAAGCCAAGCACCTCTTCTTTACTGATGTGTCATGAGGAATGGAATAGGTAGAACCTTACCAATTCTGAAGTGATCAACCATCATTTCACTTCTGAGAAAACATTAGCTTCTTGAATAGAGAAGTTCCCAGTGCCTCAACTGACTGAGAAATGAAGAATGTTGAAATGTGACCCTACTGGGCATCCAGTTTGCAGGCCAACCCAAAGTCATACTGAACAGTCATGACTGCACCTACCTTTGGGTGAGTGAGTAAGTGCGTTAAAACACTGCCTTTCCTGTATTTGCCTTTCCACATAATCAAAATCTTCTGGACTGCAAATTTTCATTTGTGTGGTGTAAGGAAAGCTTTAATGCAGTACTTAAAACATTCAGTAGATGTTGATCAGATAAATAGACTTTCAGGAAGTGAAGGAACTCCTGAAGAGTAATTGATAATGAGGTTAGAACACCAGCTACTCTGAAACATGGCTCGCTGAAAATTTGTGTCTTTGATTCATTTTTCTCTGCAGCAAGTGAAAGGAAATTTTGCTAGGTTGCAGACCTGCATCTCAGAGCTACGCATGGTACAGAGAGAAGGTTGTTTCAGGCCACAGGGCACTTCTCTGACACTGGCAGTAGAGGATGGGCTTCAGCAGTTCAAACAGTACAGCAGACAGGTGGCCTCAAGTGCAGCTCTGACCTACACTTCCCTGGAGGTAAGAGATGCTGCCTTTTCAGACTCCAAGCGGTCTTCTTATTTCAATCTATCCAGGCACTTCATTGTTTACCAGCCTTATATTGTTTTCTGATTTGTACACATTGCATGTAATTTTCAAAGCTAAATTTTCAGCTCCATTCAGGCAAAGGATGTGTTTCTCTTTTTTTATATGACCTATGTAATTCTTAGTATGGAGCTAGGCATAGAATCAAGCTCTAAAAATATGGACTAAAGTGGATTATGGGAGCTCTGGTGGCGTAGTGCATTTGACTGCTAACCAGAAAGTTAGCTGTTCAAACCCACCAGCCACTCCTCAGATGGAAGATTGGGCACTCTACTTCCGTAGTGATACCACCTTGGAAACCCAAGGAGGGGTCACTATGAGTCAGATCTGGTAGACGGCAGTGGATTATAGGTAAAAACCAAAATCAAAATAAAATCTGAATATGCCATCTGCCTCCAGATTTTTGGAACTTGTAAAGCAAACATTAAACTGCTAGATTGGTGCCTGTATTTATATTTACTCAAGTACCCTTAGGAATTTACAGTTGTTCTCAATAAAATCTTGACAATGTCAAAAATAACTCAGAACACCATTAACAGACTGCTTTGCAGGTTTAATAGACAACTTTAAATTTGGGCAGCATATCATTACTGAGTAAATCAGTGCTGTGATTAATTAAGATTTTCAAATTGGTATGCATACAATTTTATCAAGAATTTTGAACAAAAAGTTTTGACTGGTTGACGATTATGTCAGAATACACAAATCTTATAAGAGAGCAGTATGTGCTTGAACATTATCAAAGCTTAAATAGAAACCTTGCTAACACAATCACAAGATCAGTGAGCTGTGATTGTAAGACCTCTTAGAAACAGGACATGTTTATTGATCTTCAATTTTTTCCAAAAATAATATGTTTCAAATGTTTCAGTGAACCTGATCACCTAGATACAATTATGTGAAAAAAGACGAACTAATTCTGAAGTAATAATTTAAGGCATAACTATAAAAATTGTATACTATCATTATTACTATATAGCACATAAGTTTCTAACATAAAATTACCTTTAGGGCTATGGGTAAGAGAACTCTCTCTGTTTTCATAAAGCAAACTTGTAAATTTATCTTACAGCATCAAATTGAGTAGATTTGTTTTGGATTAGCAAATGTGCAAATATGAAAATTGCTGTAATTTTGGTACCAGACTTAGACAACTTAAAAATATGAGTAAATCATGACTGCATCCTCCATTGGATGTATGAATGTGTGTAAGTTAAAACACTTTCTCTCTGTCTCTGGTTAACGTGAAGCATCATATACATGAGTTAAAAAAAAATATTTATGCTTTCATCTGCATCCATTCTTCATCAATCAAGAACTTCTAAGTATGAAAAGAATTTTACATTTTAACATTTACCTTCCAGAGTTTCAAAGTATAAGACAGAACTTTTAAAAACATACAGTGTGTTCATTCAAATAGAATAATTCAAATTATACACAAATACCTCAGTATTCCTTCAGGTCAAATATACTGATCAAGGCAAACCAAACCCACTGCCATAGAGTAGATTCAGTGTCTACCAAATAGTGGGTTTAAACCAACAATATTTTGGTTAGCAGCCAAATGCTTTAACCACTGCACCATTAGAGCTCCTTGTATTGGTCAAAGGCAAATGCAATACAGGGTCAAGAGAGCAAGAGAAACAGCTCAACTGGATCCAGGTTGAACAAGGGGAGAAATCAGCCTATGAAAGTACACCAAAGCACCACTGTGGGAGAGGAACATACAAGCTCTCCAATATTTGGTATGATGCACTTAGTGAGTGGAATTAAAGGATCCTGTTTCCTCATAAAATCAAAGCATGTTAAATGGGAGAGATGCTGCCAGTTCTTAAAACTAACTTGAAAGATTAAAATACAAGTATGACCTCTCACTGGTCTCTTTCTGGGGTCAGCTCAGCTTGGTTGAAAAGGTTCTAGAATGACCTATCCCACCAGACTTGTCCTACCAGACTCTGTTAAATGAAATTTGATGTGTAAGTCATGTATAAATCTTCTTTGCACTAAACACAATAGCCACTACCATAAGCTTCTGCTGTGTTTGTCCTCCAGATGTAACCTGTTATGGTCTTCACTCTGTGTGTAAGGGAGAGTAGACAAATTGCTTCTTGGATTTATTTCCAGATTACTATTCTGACTTCTCAGCCTGGAAAAGAGGTGGTCAAACAATTGGAAGAAGGCTTGAGAAATACTGACCTAGTCAGAGTCAGGAGGCTTCAGGTCGTTGAGATCACAAAAGAAGCCCTAGAATGTATGGAATCAGCATCCCCTGTTAAGGAGCCCAGCAATGATGGTAAGAATTAAAAGGTAAAAAGAATGATAATAATTTTAATGAGTAGTCTTTTACAGGCCAGGGAGATGTTTTCTGTGGTCTTTTTGTATTCTTAAATGGTAAATGAAGCCAGTAGATTTCATTACAGTTCAGACAGGTGTTTCTAGGTGTTAGAGTTGAATTTTTTATTGTTTGGTTTGTTTTTGTTTGTTTTCCAGAAATAATATATGCTAGGAGTAAAAATGGAAATATTATAGATATAAAAGGTAAACATTTCTTCTTCCTCTAATCACATTCTTTTATATATGCATACATACACTTACTCTCACACATACACATAGTATTTTAATGGTATCATGACAGATGTACTCTGCAACTTTCTTTGTCTATATGTGTTGGACAGCTCTCTATGTTCAGGTTAATAGACCTGTCTCATTTTCTTAATGGCTGCATGGTTTTTCATTGTATGGTTATGACATAGTTTATTTATCTAATCACTTATTAACAATCTGGTTAATCCTAGCTTTTTCTACTATAATCAATACTGCATGAATAGACATGTGCAGGGATGGCTTCATGGACTTATATAACTAGAGCAATCATGCAGGACTCTACATTCAGAAAGGCCCTGAACTTGGGGTTTAATGTTCTTTAGTTACTTATCTTGAAATTCTTAATTTTATCTTTGAATTTATGTTTTGTAAGTGAAGTTTGATGGGATAATAGAATGTGCACCAAGAACTTAAAACCTCACTCTGAGGGCTTAGAATCTTGCCTCCTGCCTCTTTCTTACCTTCTCAGAATGGGTTCTCAGTTGCTTGTTTCCCAGCCCTGGTGCCTCAGACTACCCCAGTCCAGCCACCACTGCCATCCAGTGTTCCCAACAGGAACCTGAGCATTGGTGCCGTGCATGCTGAGTTGAGCTGAGTTGCAGAACAGGCCCCAAGTGACTATGAGGGTCTGCACTTGCTGGCATGTATACTGGTGCTCGATGGAGCATGACTTTAAATAGCAAATAAAAAAAGCACTGTGATAGGTTAAGAAAGAAATAACAGAAGAAAGGGAAATGCTTTATATTTCAGTATGTTTAATGGCACTTTTTTTCTGCTTTTTGAACAAGGAACCCCACATTTTCATTTTGTACTGGGCCCCTGTAAATGATGTTTCCGTCCTTGCTTATATGTAGAGTTGTGACCTTTGTGTGGGTAATTTCTGTAGAGCACATTCCTAAAAGTAAATTTACTAGGTAAAACAGTACATATTTTTTCAGTTGTGATAGTTATTAACAAATTGCCCTGCAAAAAGACCATACCAATTTACACTTCGATCAAGAGCAAATAAGACTTCTCTTCTAGGAATTACACTTTAAAAAAAAAAAAAAAAAAACTCTTCTAGGAATTACACTTTAAAAAAAAAAAAAAAAAGGACTTGTCAATTCAATGAGGAAGATACCATTTTGTTTTTGAAATTAGACTTTTTTTCCCTGAATTACCCCCTGGGATTACTTTGGAAGGTACTGTAGAGTGGTCCAAATAGTAGTCTTTCCCCTTTCCTCTATTTACTTGAATGACCTTTTCCTCGGTATTTACATTCTGAAAAATAGTACTGCTTACTGTAGACAACTTTTAAAATGCAGACAAGCACCAATAAATAAACTTATACATAATTCTACTACCTACACTTTCCAGAAGAAATATTCAAACTGAGTCTTAAAAGACAAATAGGAATTAGCCAAGCAGAGGGAGAGGAAAGGGGCAGTCAAAGGAGTCCTGGAGGTGCGAGAGAATGGGCTCAGCTCTCAGAGATGTGCCCATAGTTCCCTGTGACGGGGGCCTGTGGACAGAGGCAGGGGTGTGGCTAGAAAGAGAGGCAAAGGTTAGAGCAAGAAGGAAAGTATAGTCCATGCTAAGACATTTGGATTCTATTCTAAGGCAATGGAAATTTATTAACAGTTTTCCATCAGAAAGTCAAGTAGAGAGTTCTAAATTGTGGAGTTTAAAAGTTTTTAACTGGTTTTAATTAGTCTAACACTCACGTATCGGCATCCAGCAGTTCTATCTGGCTATAACCGTCCCTCCCAAGGTTAGGCCCACTAACCAGAGCCTGCTGCTCTAATACCTTTGACCTCTTCTTCACTCCTCATGATGACCTCACTGTTTTATTTTGTTTTTTCTTTCCCACTGAAATTAGATCTGGAAGTTGGTAACTAAAGGTGCGGTTCCTATCAAATTCTGACACTTGTGGATCCTTCTAACATCATGAGGTTATTGACATTGTTCTGGTGGGGGAGCGAGGGTAACCAGCCTTAGACAAAACAAAATGTGGTTTATGAGTTCTCACATTTTGCACACATTCTGCTCTCCTTAAGACCGTCTCCTCACTGGCTCCAGAACTGACTGTGCTGCTTTCTGTCACCATCCCTTCACTCATAGGAGTCTTTTCCTCTGAATTCCTTCTTTCTTATGAATTCCTTCCCCTATTTTGTCCAGCCAAATCCATCCTTGAAGTCCTACTTGAGGTTCATGACTACTACTGTATTGATTTCCCTCTCCTTAGAACAACTATATCACTTGTCATCTCCACCACACAATTTAGCACTTAATTATATACCATGTAGAATTGTTCAACATTGCTTTATTAGATGATATTTTGTCTCCTCGCCTAAATTATAAACTTTTTGGTATCTTTTCCCCCCCTGCATGAAACTATAGGCACCTTGGGATTAGAAATTTCTCTTACTCATCTCTGTCCCAGTGTGCAGCATATTCAATAGGTATTTGCTGCTTGAATTTAATGACAATGATACCTGGGGAGGCTGTTCTTTTAATTAAAAATTTAAAAAAAATAAAAAACTTTTTATTGTGCTGGGGATGCTATTCTTGATCTTCTCAGCATCCTTTATGTCCCTTTTTGCTGGTAACACCTGCACCTTCCAGTCACAAAGTGGGTCATGACTCAGGCTGAGACAATCAGGGTTCCCAGGCCTCCAGAGTCCTTCCCAGTGAGTTCTCAAACCATATCCGTGAGTGAAGAGTGTCTTTCTCTTTGGCCATGAAAAAATCAGGCGTAAACCATGTCTTTCCCTCCTATAAATGGCTTTACCCAAAAAGGACTTAATATATCTTTCTGATGGCCTGGAGCTTAGAGCACTGCAAGGGCCCCTGACACTTTAATTTAGAATAGTTAGTGACTAGAACTGTACAGAAGAGCTTTTAAATGCAGGAAAGCAGCTTTTACCTTGTGTCACTCCTAATGATTCTTCCAGTAACTTCCTTATTTGCTTATAAATAATACATCAACCCACAAATTGTTTGTAATTCGTCTTTGTGGGTTAAGTGTATATCTGGTTCATTGCTTGAAATTCATCCTAGTTTACCTGTACTGTCCTCATAATCAATTCCTTTATTCCCTTAATATTTTGCTTCATCTTGTTTTCTTCAAGAGATTAACAGCAATAGCTTCTTTCATTCCCAGAAGGTGGAGTGCTCTGAAATTAGGCTGCATGGGTTTAAATTCCTGTTCTGTCATTTACTAGCTATGTGACTTTGGGCAAGGAACTTAACCTGTTTAAGCCTTAGTTATTAATTCCTATGCCATGTAATAGTTATAGAAATTACATGAGATCATGTATATAAATTATTTAGGAGCTCTGGTGGCATAGTGCCTAAAGCAGTTGACTGCTAACCAGAAGGTGACAGTTCAAACCCACCAGCCACTCCGCAGAAGGAAGACTGGGCAATCTACTTCGTAAAGATTTACCACCTCGGAACCATAAAGGGGGTCGCTATGAGTCAGAATCGACTCTTCTGTACAACTCTAGTCACTAACTATTATAAATAAATGTAAATTATTTAGTACATAATAAATAAAGAATAGTAAAAGTTGACTATTTTTATTATTAAGAAGTTTGAAAATCTCTGTGTATCAATGATGTGATATATTTCTGAGATTTGTTTTTAATAGCCAGAACCATGTGTCTTATATATGTCTGTATCACTAGCACTTATCACTCTACCTAACACATAGTACATTCTTAATAAATGTTTCTTGAATAAATAATTGAATGATTGGGGGGAAAAAATCAAACTATTCAGGATAGATTATGACATCAACTCAAAAAGTTAAAGACATATCCCATTCACCCAAAACTTCCCTTAGTAACCCATAAATATCAATTGATTCAAACACTTCTTTATGATTTTTCAAATTCTAGTAACCAGGATCAACTAAATAAAAATTGTGTCTACACTTCCTTTTTGAAAAGAGAAACAGGTTACAAGAATTGTTGATATTGCTTAGCTTAAAAACTAACTGAAAAAGCTGTTACTTTGTGAGGATTACAATCAATGCCATAAAGCAGAATGTGTATGAACTGTTGTTTGGAAAATGAATTTGCTCTGTAAATCTTCACCCAAATCACAATTTAAAAAAAAAAGTAACAATGAGAACATGCCTTTCAATCAGTCTAAATCCCACCTTCTTTAATACAGTCCTCCCCAGTGAGAACTAAATATCACAAAGAGGACTTGGAAACTGCGGGATCGAGAATCATTGAAGAAAGAATGAACTTAGAAATTAAGAAACTAGACTGACATTTTAGAAAATTCTTTAACAAGTAAGAGGGCAGAATAGGCAGACAGACTGCACAGACTCTCCCCAACAAAGAGGAACAAATTAACACAGACACAGAACATATCCTGGATCCCTGAGCTTTGAAAGGAAGGATACAGAAGTAGACTAAATTCCAACTAGTAAAAGAACTTGCATGAAAACACCGCAAAAGGAGACATACGGAGCTGAAGACTGTTAGTGATTCTGATGGAATGGACAGCTTGGATATTGTCAAGTGGTGTTAGGACTTAAGAATTAATCTAAAACTCAGCTCTTCTAGCCAGGGGCTACATGGAGGACTGCACTGGTGGCTGGTGAATAAAAGGAGAAGCAGCGAAGAGGGAGGTGGGCTGAGCTATGGACTTTTGGCTGTCTGGAGCGAGCAGCCATTTTAAATGTTTACAAGTGGT